ATACAAAGTTTTTTTTGTTTTTCAATTTCGATTAATAAATTTATTATTTCTTGAGTAAAAAATTTTTCTTTTTCTTATAATTTTGAACAATCATCTTGTAATTTATTTATTTTCATACATGAACTAAGATATTCGTTATTTACCATTTCGTTCACAGTAATAAATCTTTCTAAACTCATCTTGCTTTGAAGTGATTCTGAAATAAAAATTCTCTCCTTTTATACAGAACTCAATACAATAAAATTCTATATTTAGATACAATTAACATTTTTTCTATTGTATTACCTTATAAAGTAAAAATACGATATCATAAAAAATTTAAAATGACACGTTGACAATTTTTTATATAAACTTGTTTTGATCTTGTTTTTTTTAATCTCTATTGTTAAAATAGAGTATATAAACAAAAAAATTTTTTTATTTTTATATCATTTGACCACTTTACAACAGTTAAAAAAATCATATACAATAAAATGGACAACGAAATTCAAGTTAATTATTGCAATCTGCAAAATTATTTAAAATACGGTGACATGGCAGCTGCTACATTATGGCAGATTGATTTAGGAAACGAAAAAGATTTAAAAGAAAATAAATATTCTAAAGTACCAGTAAAACCCGTAGCACAATTTAATTTCCTTAAAAAAGAATTGGTTTATTCCAACTCAAGCAAAGAAGAAGTTATATTGTTGCCAGCATCTATTCGAAAACAATGCTCCCTTGCAGAAAATACATGTAATTATTTGTATAGAGCTGAAATGAAATTAAATAAAGAAGACGTTCATTTCAAAAATAAAACAGGCGATGGGGAAATTACATTTAATGCTATTTTAATTACAACTCAAACTAAATTAAATAAAAAACTTTTACAATCTATGTTATGTAAAATTGAAGAAATACAAAATAGCGGATATAATTATGCTTACAACAAACACAAAGTATTAAAATCGCAACCTATTAGTACTTTTAACGTACGAATGTTAAAAGAAGACGAAGAAATTTATTATACAGAATACGATAGACAATCTTCTGTAGAACCTATTATGATCAACACTTTACTTAAAAACGGACAAACAAGATCTTTTAATCAAAATATGAAAAGAGCTGCCCAAGATTTAGCTGGACAAGAAAGTAAAGAGTATAAAAAATTAAAACAAAACGAAATTAAAGACGAAAAAAATGATGACGAATAAACTTTTTTTTATTTTTTAAAAAAAAACTTGTATTTCTATTTTTAAATTTAATAAAAAAACCAGTTATTATAAAAAAACGTGTTTTTTATTACCTTATAAGGTTCTAATATGAAGTCATATAGATTAATAAAAAAATATAAATACAAATCAAAATTTTTTATATATCATTTCAAAAAAAAATGACTAGCAAGCAGGTTGAACAAAGTTTAGAAAATGCATTAAAGTTGTTTTATCCAGACAACGAACTTCATCCTATGTTACAAGAATTTCATCATTTGGAAAACAGTTATGAAGATTGGGAAATTATTATAAACGAATATTTAACTAAATGGAATTTACAACTGTTATTACCAAAAGAAGAATATTGTGATTTGTATTTTATTTTTATCATCAAAGATTATCAAAATCATCAAAATTTATTTGAAAAAACTACGCGTAATTATTTTCAATTTTATGAACAAGGATCTAAATAGAAATCAGACATGTATGATTTTTGTAATTTAATCAACACTGATTTTTTAAGATGTACAGAAAAAAACAAAGAAATGCATAATGAGTACACAGCAGATAGCAATTTTACAGAAAGATATCGAGTGTTAAAACGCAAAACTGATCATTTTATAAAAATATACTAGAAATATTATCGTAGTACTATTGACAACAAATGCACCTCTTGGAAAAATAAAATTAAATTATCATTACAATATTATTTTTTGTTTCCCTATTTAATCGAAAATCATTCATACGAATATGATTTATTAAAGCGTAACAGTTTAATTTTGAAAGAAGAGTATCCTTCTTGTTTACAAAGATTAGTATTTTCATACAATGATAAATTATTTCATAACGGATTTTTTACTCTTTATACACCTATACCCATTTATAACTATTTTAAAGTTGAAAAAGTAAAAACTATGAACGATAAAGTTTACATATACAAATCGTTTAATCAATGTAATTTTTATGAGAAATCAATTATGGAAATGTTTCCTTATGCCAATTGGTTTTATTTTTTTAAAAGAAATTTTACCATTTCGAAAATTTTAAATAGACGAGACAATCGACTCTATGATGTCATTAAACAAGAAATTATCAACGATAAACCTATTCATAAAGCTGAACATTTTAATATGTATTATATTAACGCAAAGGAATGTTTTAAAAAAAAAAACAATTGTATTTTTTTTAATTTTTTTATTTACTTTATGTATTATTTACAAGAAAAAACATTATCAAAACATTTACAAATTGTTTTATTAATTTCTTCACAAAGATTATTTTCTCGCACTAGGTTAACTAAATCTTTATATTGTTCTCTTTTTTCACTAGAACCTTTAACATGATATATAAAGTCAATCAAATAATTCTTTAACATCTTTGTTTCATATTTACAGCAATGTTCTAAATGTTCTTTTCTCAAAATTTCCCTTCTAAAATGAGCATTACACGGTATTTCATCATAGAAATAATTCATACTTTTAATTTTTGGAAAGGCAAATTCGTTTAGATTAAAAAAATAAACATTTTTAAAACATTTCAAAATTAAAACTTCCATATTGCCACCTTTATAGAATATTAAATTTATTGGATATTTTTTAAAATTAGATTCCAAATGATAGTATACATCTGTGCAAAAAATACTACTAGAGTTAACCAAGAAACTAGGATTATATGGTAAACCATGAATATAATTTTTACAATGATCGAAAGCTTTTTGATGTTTTTCTACCAAGTTTTTATAGGGGGTACAAGGCCAGACTTGTAGATGTAAGCAAAAATCTTCGTTTAAAGCTCTTAAACAGATTTCTCTTATACAATTTTTTCCCCAAAAATGATCTTTTGTAGATTCATTATGAATATACTCGGTATCTAACAACCAAATCTAAAAAAAACAACAATATTTTTTAATAAAAATAAAACGTATTCTTTTTTAAAAATTTTAAAACATGTATAAAAAACAAAAAAAATAACTAATTTTTTAAAAAAATTTTTATAATTAAAAATGAATCGAGTTGACAGTATCATTAGAAAAATTCATAATAATTGCGCTGTTTGCGCATTAGATGAAATAGCCAAAAGGTATCAATCACAAGAAAACAATTCTGGAAACTCTTCACCTTCATCTCTAGTTATAGACGAGGAACATTATAAAGACACATCATCAAATGATTTTCTTGAAAACATTTTAAATTCAAAAAGAATTACATTAAATTCTTATTCTATTGAAAAATGTTTTAAAAACAGTAAATTTAAAAATTTATTAGACCAACCGCAACTATGTCAATTTCACTTGATCAAATTTGACAATATGAAAAAAGATCATCTTGACGAAAATGTTATAGCCGACTATTACAAATCTAAACTAAAAGTTTTTTTACTCGAAAGAGATGTTAAACCTGTTGTTCCATTTGAAGGTGATCAAACAGACGGATTCGTCGATATTTTTACAGCAAAAATATTACCTACCGCTTCAACCATCATAGAAAAACTAGATGGAGTTTTAAAAAAGAAATCTGTTAAAAGAAACATTGAAGGAATCATAAAAGACGGCACATCTAATAAAAAAACATTATTTGTTAACATTTTACACGCTATTGTAACATTATTTATTTCAAGTTTTTTTAGTTTAGAAAAAGAAGAATAAAATGTGTACTAACGAATCTTTGTCTAGTTATTTTAATAATGAACCCTTTTTGAAAGATTATTTTATAGGTGTTTACGCTTTTGACGAATTGAGTCAAACCCAAACACACGTAAACATTATTAAACGAATGGTAAAAAACGGTTCTTTTTTTATTTATAATAACGAAACTAGTAAAGAAAATGGAGAACATTGGAGACTTTTACTCAAATTAGACAATAATCATTTTTTTTGTTTTGACAGTTTAGGTACTGAAAGCTGTTTAAAACAAATTCCACCTTTTTTAAGAAGTAATAGACATTTGTTTGAATCTGTAGAAGAAATACAAACTAACATACAAATAAACACTTTGAACATTAATTATAATGAAATTGAAACAAGTTCTTACATACGACAAACTAAACACTTTCCTTACGAATGGACAGCTGATAATCATGAATTTTATTGGTTTACAAAATTTGTATTAAAATATAGTTCAATGACAGGTCAACAAACTCTTTTGTTTTCTTATAACAAAACTTGTTTTTAATGGGAAAACAGTAGTTTGTGCGGAGCTTTTGCCGCTTATTTTATATCCTTGTTACCAAACTATCTTATTAACGGTCAAATTTATTTACCTTTGTTGTGCAGATTACTGAACTATCACTTCTATGAAGTTTCGACTCTTCATGCTTCCGAACTAGCTCAAATAAATTTGCTTCCATTTTTTCACTTTGTTAGAAGTAAATTATTTAAACACTTGGATGATACTGCTAAACAACTTTTTGAAAAAGACATGAAACTTCATCTCTATTTAAGAAAAACTGAGAGTCTGGTACGTAATAATGTAACAATGAAAACAATGAAAATTCCTATAGAAAATGATATTTTTAAAAATGAAGTCATGACCAATAACAAAATTAGAAGCTTTTTAAACGATGCTAGATTATTAAGAACTAACAATGAATGTCAATGGGATAAAATATCTATTCAAGATATCAATGCTATTAGAGATGTTATGAACGAAGAAAACCTTGCTTTAAAACAATATGAAAATATGAACGATTCATATTTTTTTAATTACAGAAGATTTAAAGATATAAATAATTTTATTGACGTGCCTCAAGATGATGTCATGACAAAAAAAGAAATAAAAACTCGCTTTGTTCAAAATTTATTATAATAAAATGTCAACAAGTATACAGAAAGCAGCTTTATGGAAGATTAATGAAAAAGTTATAGAAGAAAATTGCGACTCGTGTGCTGGAAACGGATTATTATATATTGTTAATTTACAAGATCCGAAATCGTTAAATTACTTGAAAGAATGTACGAGTACCGTTTTTTATGTGTTTGTATCTTACAAAAAAAAAATACCGACTTTCAAATTAATAAAACAAAAAAGGTAATTTATAAAAAAAATTATTATTTTTAAAATCAAAAAAAAACAATTTTTTTAAGTTTTTTTTTTTTTTTTTAGAAAAAGAGTAAATACAAGCTCAAACGAAACAAACAACGAAAAATTAAATATTTAACAAAACAAATACAAGACGGTCTTTTATTTTTTCAAGATCATGTGTAATTTTTTTTATTATAATAAAATATATTGTTTATTTCTTTTTTCTTTTTTTTAACGCTGCATTTCTTTCGTGTTTTCGATTAACGTAAGCTTCGTTTGATATTTTCCATCGTTTGACTTTTTTACCAACGCGACCTAATTTACGGTTAGATTTGTTATCTTTATATGTTTTTTTAGTTTTTCGTAAACATACTAATATATTTTTACAATTGCTTGGTATCCCTCTATTTTCTGTTTGCGTTTGTTGCGAGTTTGTTGTAGTACGTACAAAATCAATTTGATTATTCAAATAATTATCTACAGTTTTTTTTGATCTAGGTGTATATCTTGTGCGAGGCATTTTTTTTAATATTTTTTTTGTTGTTAAAAAAAATATATATTTATATAATATCATTTTTTTTTAATTTTTTACAGATTTAAATATATAAAATAAAATGAGTGAAAATAAATTAACAAATATCTTGGCATTACATCTTGACACCTATTGGCAACAATTTGCTAATTATTTGAACATGCATCGCTGTGTTATTGATGCCATTGACAACGATTATGATATACAATATCTTAAAATATGTCGAGTCATTACGCTATTTTTTCAAGTTAATCCAGAAGAAAAATTTAATCCGCAATTTATATTAAAAACATTACAAAGATGGTTAATTGACGAACAACAAAAAAATAATTTTAAATTAATAAACAATTTAAACGAATTAATTAATAAAGTTAAAAATTTTGTAGAAGAACCCATGGAATATTAATTTTTTTACATTGTATAACATGTTGTATTTTATTTTTTAGATTAACTAAAATTAAAATGGAAGTCATTTATAATGATGTGAATAAAGCAATCTACAAATATGGCAAACCGGAACTTAAACCATATGAGAAACTTATACCATATGAGGTCATGTTTGTAGATGGCGACTCGGTTTTTAATTTAAAAAACATCGACATAGTCGACGAAAAAGAAGACTATGAAGACGATTATGATGAAGATGATGATTATGATTATTACGATTATGATGAAGATGATGATTATGATGATTATGAAAACGATTACAATGAAGTCGATGAAATAGATAATGAAATGGCTGTTGAATATGATAATGATGAAGATAATGACGGTGATAAAGAACCTATGGAAATAGACAATTGACTTTTTTTCAAATTATTTTGTATTTTTTTTATTTTTAATGTCCCTTTAGTTTTGAGTGTTTTAAGAAATTTATTTTCTTAAAGCAGCCAAAACTAAAGGTATAAAAAATAAAAAAAAAAAATGGAATAGAACTTTATTAATGTTCCTTTAGTTTTGAGCTTATTAAGAAAAATTTATTTTCTCAATAAAGCCAAAACTAAAGGTATAAATAAACAATGGAAACACTTTTGTTTACAATTATTATAAATATGAGATTGTTTTATATATTCAATACATAAAACAATTTCGTATTCATAACATTGTAACATATTTTTACTGAGCAGATGCAAACAAATATGTCGATTTATTGCTCTCCGACCAAATATATATTGAAATTTTTTTATAACTTGTATTTTTTTTTGCTTTCAATAATAAATATTTTTTACCTGTAATATTATATAATATTACCCATAACATTTTTTAATACTATTAATACTTTTTTTAGCAACTAATTATACAAAAAAAAATGGCTGAAGCTATGGAAAAAGAATTATGTTATTATTGCAAGTTACCCTTTACTATTGATCAATTACTAAATCATCAATTAAAATGTAACACATCACAAGATTATGATTGTTTTAGCTGCGGAAAAAAAATTAAATTGTCAGATACTTGGGAACATGAATGTGAAATTTATCACGATGAACGCGTAGAAAGAAATCAAACTAAATTATGTGTATTTTGTGGAAATCAAATTCAAAAAAACTACTATAATCAACACGCTATTGATTGTTTACATCGTTTTGAAAATGAATGGAAAGAAATAATGGAGAAACAAAAAAATATTATTATGGATCAAAAACAAAGTTTAACTTTTTTAAATATGACTAATAATAACATTCTAAACAGTTTAGCAACTGTCAACAAACAAATAAACGCATTAACTAAACGAATGGACAACATGGGTTTGGAAATAAAAGAGTTTGTGAATAAAAACACATTTGAAAAAATATTGAACAACATCAGCTTGGAAATGAAAGAATTTGTGAATAAAAGCACATTTGAAAAAGAATTGAAACTATATGATAATATATTAAATTATAATAAAGATATCAACGACAAATTCATGTCTGATAATTTAATTATAGAATTGGACCAAATGGATTTAAGATTGCAATCTAACGAAGCTTATCATACTCAACCTTCTTATACTGTAGATGGTTATTTCTATCGATTTAAAATTTTTGGTTACAGTAATCAAGAAGATAAAATGGGTATTTATTTTCAATTGATACAGTCTCCAAAAGATCATTCTTTAAAATGGCCGTTCATGAAAACTGTAACATGTACAGTTAAAAACGAATATATTGAAAACACAAAAATAATAGCCAATTATAGCGAACCGTTAAAAGAATGTTTTGAAAAACCTGCTCAAGCTTATAACCGAGCTATTGGAACAGATAATTTTGCAACGCATGAACAATTAAAAAGAAATTATATAAAAAACAATAAACTTATTATACACGTTTCTTTTATATAATTTATTTTGTATTTTTTTTGTATTTAATTAATCATATAATTAATAAACTTATTATACACGTTTCTTTTATATAATGTATTTTTTATATTATATTTTTTTATATAACATTATATTTTTTTTTAGAATATTAAAAAAGATGAACAGTGCAATCATGAGAGATATAGCTGACTACATCACTACGTCTGATGTAAAAAAAATTAAAATGTTTTTAGAAATACCTTACGGTATAAGAGAGAAAATCAAAGATGGACTAGATTTAATGGAATATCTACAATACAAAGATTTCGTGTATCAAAACTATGAATACAATACTAACGAAGCTAAAATCAAACTTATTTTAAATTTGTTAAATGAAATCGGTAGAAAAGATATCTATAAAAAGTTTATAGTCAAATTTGAAAATCCGCCATCATACGAAGAAAGTGTTAATCCTCCACCGTATGCAGTACTGGATAACCGAGACAGATCCAATATAGATTTTCCAAACTTTAAAGTAGCAGATCCATTTTGGGCAGAACACGCAAAATGTAATACTCCGTTGTATTATCCGCCTGAAGTTAGTAGTTTAAAACAAAAAGAACTTTTGAACTATTATAATAAAAAATAATTTTTTTTAAAATTTTTTATGACCTTTTTTTTAAATTTGTATATTTTTTTAGCAATGAATAAAAATCAATTTAATAACATACTTAATGAATTACACGAATTTGATTCGATGAAGCAAAACAAGTTAAAAGAATGGAATTACAACTATGATCTTGTTTTCAATCTTATTACAAATGTTGAAACATGGTCCTTACAAGATTTATGTAAAAGAAAATTAGCTTACGAAAAACTTTTGAACACTGTTATACCAAATTTACAAAAACAAATTAGAGATTTATTGCATACGCGTTTATATGGAAACGAAAAATTACCCTTCATTCATTACTATTTTAACAAAATGAATGATATTTGGTTTGATAACATTATTAACGATATTAACAATGCGAATGATAATTATAAAAAACATTATTTATTTGTTCAGAAATTAATTATTCATTATGTTTATCGATTTTTTGAACAAACTTATTTTATGTTACGTTATAAAACTAAACAAGACAAATTAATTATGTCATCTCTTTTTAATATTTATATGCAATGTATAGATTGGTTAATTGAACAATGTAAATTTGTTTATGATCCTCATTTTAAACCTTGTTATATTTATAAATATGATTTTATTTAGAATGTTAACTTTTTTTTATTTTTGAATAAAAAAAATGAAACTAATTACTGTAGATCAAGATCAAGACCTTTTATTTTTTAACAGAGAAGAATCCGATATAATGACAAAATTTTTAAATGTCGATCATGAAAAGATTAATGATCCATCGACAATAAAAGCGTTTGGCAATATATTATTATTGGTACAAGAAGAAGTTTTAAAACAAACAAACTATTTACAAAACATTGAAAAAACAGAAGAAATAAAACGAGACTTTAATAATTTTGTAAAACAATTATTATCAAAATAAATATTATTCTTTATTTTTTTATAGATTCATAATGAAATTACAAAGTTATAATTTATACGATACCAATACTCATATCAGCTTTAACCGCGAAGAATATAGAATTTTTATGGAAATAGCTATAAATCGTTATGGAAACAATAATTTTAAAGTTTTAAAAGAATTTCATCGTATTGCTGTATTGATTGACTACGAAATACGTAAAAAACATTTAATTTTACAAACGAAGAACTTTTTTATTTAATTAATAATAATTTTAAAAATTTTGTTAAAATGTTTGTATGAGAAAAAAAAAAAAAAAATTTTACATTAATAAATTTTTTCATTTAATATATTGTCTCTTTCCTTTTTTATAATATGATAACATTCCAATACATCTTTTTGTAAATATAATCCTCCAACTAATCCTTTACAATAATAACACAATTGTTGAACTATTATTTTTAAACTATTAACAAAGTTTATTTTTTAAACAATTTATCTATACACGTAAAATAATAATAAAATGTTTTTAACACATCAAGACAATGTTCAATGACTTCACTATAATTATGAAAACACGTGTCGGGATAAAATACGCGATGCGGAAGGCATTTAAATAACAATTCAAGAACTTCTATCAATTTTATTTGATATGTTTTTATCGATTTTAAATCTTTAATATTAAAACCGTATACTCTTTTACAACTATCCAATTCGCTTTCTTCAGCTTAAAGAACTTTATCCATCCAAATACCTTGATTTAAATGCGTTTCCTGTAAATGTTTTTTTAAATCTAAATTGAGTTGATATAAATATAACAAACAATCGTCCGTCGCATTAAAAGACATTTTGTTAAATGAATTTTTTTTTATTTACATATATACAATTTTGACATATATACAAATTATTTATATACAACAACAACAACCGCGGCACCGTTCAAATAAATCTTGAATGTACGGGCACACGGTTGTTATACAGCAGTGATTGTGCTCGCTTTGTTCGTCGCACAAACAACAACCAAAACATAGTATACGTCTATCATTTCCATTTGGTCTCCTTGGCGTTCCAAATTCATTTAAATGTTCGTCTATTCGTCTTACAATTCTGTCAAGTATTCGTACTTGTTCTAAAAAAAATAATTTTTTTAACTATTATATTTTTTTTTGTTGTTTTAAAAAAATATTATGTTTATAATAAATATTAATTTACCATCGTCTATTTCAGGAAGATCGTCGTAGATTTCCAATTGATCTTCATACATTTCCTCGTCTGATTCCTCAAGTGGTCTTGTTTCTACCACTTGAGGTACATATATTTGAGGTGATTTATATTCATTTTCCGGTACATAGGGTTTAACAATCTAGAAAAAAAAACACAATCACTTAAAAAAAATACAAAACATTTTTTTTTTAAAAAAAAACAATAAACTTACAGCTATTGGTTTGACGAATAATTGTCGTCTTACTTTTATTTTTTTGCTTTCTTGAATTTTTTTTACTTTACCCATTTTTTATATACAGATTTAGTTTAGGTTTTTCTGAATTGTATGGTTTAACAACTGCAACAGGTTTTGTATAAAATTTAAATACATTTTTTATATATTTTTTTTATAACGCTAGATTAACTTTAAACAAAAGAAAATAATCTTTTTTTTTAAAAAATTTAACAAGATTAAATATGTCATCAGATTATTTATGACATCATATTATTTATGACGTATTATTTTTATGGATGGGATGGAATGGTCGGAGAGCTATAATCAGAGAGGGGTAGATCATCATACAATTCTTTCAGACATAATATCATATAAGTCATCAAATTGTTTGGTAGACAAGTGCTTATATAAACTCTTTATTTCATTAAATGAAAGTGCACGCAGCTCTCTCTCACTCCAACTTTTTTTTTTCTTTTTCATACAATTATTGCCTTTTGCAAGTCAGTCTTTTTAAAATCTCTGCTCGTAATGCAGTATGTTTTAATCG